CTGTATAAAACAGATACCTGTAGGCAAGAATGAAAATATAATAAGACACGTCACCCTGTACATTAGCCCTGTTCAAACAACATAGGACTCCAGCACAGCAACTTTCCTGAAGCTATCTGACATCTGACATCTGGCAACGTGGCAAACTTTTTGGTTAGTTATGTGTTGAACGAGTAACAAGTATCAAGTAAGGTGAGTTATCTAATTATATGGAATATTTTTATTTTATCATTCGATCGCTCATTTCTTGAAAAATAACATAATGACAAAATAGCTTTGTTTATTATACCTACCTAGAAACCAGAAAGTAAATATAAAAAATTAGTTTTATGAAAATACCCTTGTCACGACTAGGGGTGGGAAAAGTTATCGATATATCGATAATTATCGATAATAATTCGGAGGAAAATTATCGTTTTATCGATATTATCGATAATTATCGATAATAATTCGGAGGAAAATTATCGTTTTATCGATATTATCGATAATTATCGATAATAATTCGGAGGAAAATTATCGTTTTATCGATATTATCGAGAATATCGATAATTATCGAAAATTATCGAAAATTATCGATAATATCGATAATATCGATACATTATGAATATCGATAATCGATATTTCAAAATCATTATCGCCCACCCCTAGTCGCCACCACTAAAAGAACTGCCTGGTTTGGTTCTACATCCAAAATAGGTATTGTACCTTTCATCTCTGGTATTCAAAGGTCGGTACTAAGTTGGGAATCTACAAATTCGTCGCAATAATATATTCAACTATATATAGAGTAAGCGTGTAGGTATCTGCATACAATGGCTGTTGAACTTTTACAGACTTTTTTTCGAAATCGAAGAATAACAAATGTCAACCATTTGAAATACCATGAAATACTATATTTTATTTATGTCGCGTACCTTATAGAAAATGCATCCCCTAGAGTGAGTAGTGATGGTGAAATATGCCAATAAACTTAATGGAAATGGAATATTATGGAAGAGTTTTGAGGTTTTGGGAATATTTTTCAGTTGGCAGTTATTCTACTTCTTTTAGCATAATAGCTCTTGAATTATTCGATAATAAATACTGTGGAATATAATAATCATAGAATGAGGAGTTTATGCATAATGGTTGTCAATATATCCAACAAGATAGTTGCATTCTGCAGGTTGTTGCAAATCTTTTAGGAGTTCAGGAGTGACGTCATTCAGAAACATGTTATAGTCACACTTATTTCATTGAAAACTTACTTCACGTGTTCCAATTACGAATAGATAAAAATGATCAATGCGGTTTATTGTCATTAGATCTATGAAAGGTGGATATATGTATGGTGAAATAGCTCCCTCTTACAAAACCCTAGACATTTTTGTAGACCTCTGGCCTACTTGATTATGTCGAATTCTATCACCGTAGTAAGGCCGCGCAAAACTAACGCTAGATGGCGCTGTTCCCGAAGTGATCTTGCTACACAATGGTTGTTTTGTTTTGTTGTTTACATTTACGTATATTGATTCGTAATTCAAAAACATTGAGAAAAAGTGATTGATTTAATGAAAAAGACGTGAAATTTTCATTATATCTGTGAATTATATGTGGCACGATGTTCCCTACGCCATCTACAGTCAATCCGGTGCGGCCTTGCTACGGTGTTTCGCGGTCTACACGTTTTGGAAAGAAACAATTGACAAGTGGTTACACCAGTCTATTTTCATCATGGATCTATGCAAAGCTTTTGATACTGTCAACCATAACATTTTATTAAATAAATTATTTGCAATTGGTGTCAGAGGAAGAATTCATGATTGGTTCAAAAATTATCTATCAAATAGAAAACAATATGTTGAAGTGGGTGGTACTTGCAGCTCCTTAATGAACATCTCATGCGGTGTACCGCAAGGGTCAGTCTTGAGACCAGTTTTATTTTTGATCTACATACATTCAATATCAAACTTGGAATTGAGAGGAAAACTTAAATTATTTGCAGATGACACGACATTGATTTATTTTCCTAAAGATTCAAATAACATTATCATGGACATGAAAAGTGATTTAGAGGAAATATCTTCTTGGTTACAAGTTCATAAACTATCTCTCAATTATAACAAATCCTCATAAATGTACATAGCAAAAAGAACATTGAACATTTCAAATAAACCACTATCCTTCAACAATAAACTCATCAAATATACAGATGTAACAAAATTTTCAGGTCTTTATATTGATGAACGATTATTGTGGAATAAACATATAGATCATTTGAGAAAAAAACTTAATCCTATTACAGGCATTTTATTCAAAATACGAAATTTCATTTCTACTAGATACTTGAAGAGTATTTATTTCTCTCTTATTTACTCAAAATTTCAATACCTAATATCTATATGGGGAAGTACCAATATTTCACGTTTGAGTCCACTAATGAAATTACAAAATAAAACATTGAAGTGTATTTTCAATTTGAATTTTCTCGAACCAACCATGAATTTATACAAACCTAGAGATTTGTTAGATCTGACATCACTATATAAACTTAAAATATGTTGTTTTATTCAATTTGTCCTATATAAATTGAAAATTTCAAATTTTAAATTTCAATGAAATCAATTCATTACATAATCATGGAACAAGACAATCAAATTTACTAATAGCAAATACGTTCAAGTCAAATATCGGCAAACAATCCATTTTTCACACAGGAATCGTTCTATACAACTCATTACCAAGCCAATTGAGGAATATACAGGAAGCAACTAGATTCAAAATTAACTTGAAAAAATATCTGCTTCAGAGACTTTGATAATTCCATTTCTTATTTGAATAACTACTTATAAAAGGCAAGGTTGATATTGCATGATTATTTGTATTTTTTTTTTACTTGTTATATCTCATTATAATTCCATATTTGTATGTATAACATTATGTATATTGTTTATGTATTCCTATTATAAACAACTATGTTTCTTGGGGTAATAAAGACAATCAATCAATCAATCAATACTTTTAGTGATTTATGCTCTCTCGAATGGTACAAGTATTGCTATTATTGCAAAAACTTGAGTGGGTGTACTTATACGTAGAAATAGTCACCAAATCAGAACTACAATCGGAAGAAAAAAATATATGAAATTGAGAAACCTAGACTCCCAATACTCCTGAGAGTCTAGGGGTATTTTGTGAATCGAATGCCAGCTGATGCAGACTGTTCCGGCTTGCCAAGCCTCATCAGTTGCACTAGGTTAGCTGACATTCGTTTCACAAAAGGACCTTCAATAAAAGGGCAGGAAAAAATGTTTACAGTCAACTTCACCAAACTATACTCTATTCAACATTGGAAATGGGACATGTTTCGAAGCTCCAATGCTTCATCATCAGCAAAAATCATTATTTGTGACAGGAATTACTTCAATAAGAAAGACAGAAAGTTACGTCAGACAAACATTCCGACAATGAAAGTCGAATAGCCCTAGGAATGACCTCGGAAAATATTTCACATGTTGAAAAACAAGATACGATTTACATAATTGAAAATTGTTTTTATAGAAATGAAGGGTCCGCAATTGAATGCGGATCACCTTTGTCGAAATATTAATAAAAACATAGTTGAAGTAGATAGGATTTCTTTCTCCAAAGTCGAACATTTTTTGAAAAAAAATGGAGAATGGCAGATATCTTCAAAATGCAAGACTTCCTATACGCAGCAGTAGTCATCAACCTGCAGGACCACAAAATCAGAGCGAAAAATTTCAGAAATACCAAGATTTCATCGGCAAAGAGTTCGATTAGAATTTATAGATTGTTTGAAAAAGCTATGAGATATAGTCATCTAATATATGGAAGAACAGGCGCCAATATAGGTGTGGGTAAAGAATGACACCGACACCAAGAACATATGAATAATTCATTGATGCCAATATCGTAGGTCGTAATTTCATATATTATTAACCAAGACCTTGTTATGTAATACACTTGGTCAGAGATTGTATCTGCCCACAATCTACCTGTGTTTAGAAATACATTTGATATTTCAATGCCCCAGAATCAGTCAGACAAGCATCAGCCAATAAAAAAGTTTTGGAATACAAAGTTGATGAATTAATTTCGTTAGAATCCAAATATTTCTGGAAATTATGCATGGCCTCTAGTTGTAGATGTGACATTTCACGTCAAAATGTTAATCGGTTCGCACATTTTCAATAAACTAAGTACTTTATTGTTTTTGCATAATATCTCATTTCAATTTTTCAGTGATGTCTTCCGTTCACTTTTTATGATTTATTCGAATCAACTATTGAACGTTTTCAAATTCACACCCTGACGTTTATGAAATGATAACACCAGAAAACCTATGGAGTGTAATTCGATGTTAAGATCCATCGAACGCCTAGATTCCATCAAAACTGTTTACAAACCATAATAATGTAAAAGTTATGCACATCACACTCATTTAACAGAAATCAGACTGAAACATGTTCAGATTTCACACACAGGAATTTGTGGTGCCAATAATGATAATTATTTTATGATGTTTGGATATAGTTCTGATAAATTTCGATCAGGGTTGTGATATATTGGTGGACATGTTTGAAATCACCCTGTATATACACGAATTAACAAACTTTTATTTTGTTTCGTTCGTCATCAACTTTTATCGCAACCACAAAATGGGTGCACTATCTGATGTTTAGAAGTTTCAAATTAGAATCAAAAGATTTGTTGGGATCAACTACTGTTAAATTCAGTGTCATTTGTCGAATGTATCAACTTTCAACAACGTCAGTTAAAATTATAGTTTGAAAAATGAAGGCTAAAAATATTCGTTGCTCTAATTTTCTGTGATATTGGTGATCACTAGTTATTTATCTAAGAGAAATACAATAATTTCGACGATGGCACTGATGTTATTCACATTCGACATCTGACACTGCTGTAACCAACCTCAAAATACGAAATTACAATTTCTACTAAATGTGTTCACCAGGTTGTTTTACCCAATGTTTTACCTGATGTATCAAATGGTACTTCTTGGCAAACGTCATCGCTATCTGACCGACATTTGTACACTGCTCCACCTCTCTTGATTGCCCCTCTTCTCGTTCTGTCTTGAAATATTGACTGAGCTTCAGGAGCACCCACGAGAACCCTGAAAAAATAGAGAAAATTGTGATCATTAGCAGGAAATCCCAAGAACTTTTTCATCAGATGAGTTTTCTTCGCTAACGAGATAATTTTACCAGAAAACTTATGAATGGGCGGGTGTACTGATAATGAATTATGCAGGGGCATTCAATTACTCCACTGTGTCGTAAGGAACCTAAATTAATGTTTGCAACACTTCTCCTGCCTTTTTTATGTGTATAATAGGTCTATGCGTTGTTCAATATTATTGAATTTCACAGCTCACTGCAAACATAACGTCATGGCCGCCATTTGGCGATACGTCGAATAAATGGTGACGTCAGTTCTTATGCTGTTTCGTTATTGGTCAGATAATCTTCAATTTCCACTCATGAAGCAAAGTGGTCAAGTCAACAATTATAATCAAGTTATCAAAAAGATGTTTGAGTCCTGTCGTTGAATAAAACATAATAGGAGGAACTTATGACATTATAGTTCATTCTTGATAGTTATATCGAAGACTGGAACCATTGACACGATAATACACTACACTGTTTTACCACTAACCAAACCGATTTTATATAAACGCCTCGACACGTGTTTCGCTAACTATGTTAGCATCTTCAGGAGAAGATTAAAACTGTTTTCAGTCTATGTAAAATTCTTCCATATCGTGAGTGATTTTCGAAAATAAAAAATACCACCTGTATACAAAATATCTTCCCCCCTCCCGTTCAATTTTATTATCATCATTAGTCATAGATAAATCATTTGTTCGGAAATTAATCGGTTAGCAGCATGATTCAACTTATCAGTCATTCATTCGGGACCAGGTGATAAATCAATACAGTCTTATATTAGATGTCATCACGTACGGTCAAATTTTGTGATCGACATCGAAGAATACGCGAAAGGAACTATTTATCGTTCCAAACTGAGTGTCCCCTAAAAACTGAGTGATCGTATTGATTCGTATATCGTGTTTTTGTATTCCTCATTCGATTCAATAATAATTATGAAGAGATCGTGTGTTGAGCCTCACTTTTTTCACGCTGGTGAGTGCAGAGAAATTCTTTTAATTTTTCCTCATATTTCCCTGTATTCATTCAACTCCATTACTCTATACAGGGTATATAACGACGAGCTTACAGTATCTCTAAATCGAGAATCAGTCGGGGGAAATCCATGATAATGTGCATGCTTATATTTTGGTATACGCTTTTTTCATTTATAATTTGTTCGACAATGCAGTGTTGCCGCTTCTACTAGAAAGTAGTAGCAACATTGATATTTCGAACGGAACACCCTGTATCTCATCGCATTCCAAGATTCCCCCTGAGGAGTTGATTTCATCGATGTATCATACTTGGGGTCTATCGAAAATGATTACAGAGATATAGGGTGTTCAAAATCGATATTTTTCAACTTAAGGATTTTTTTGTGTCGAAAATATTCATTGTCGGTCAAAACGGCTCACATGTCCCCATCTCAACTTTTGTTTCAGTATTTACTGATATTCAATCGGAACAGAAAGATACAAGGTGGTTCAAGATTCAGAAATCATTTTCCACCTTTTTCACGTTGCTGAGTTTTTTCAAGAAACCCGAAGAAAATTTGTCAATCCGTATCGCTGACTGTGCAGAGAAATTTTCGAAGTCGTCAAAATTTCTTTGAAATGATCACACACGAATTGTCAAACTCTTATTATTATCAATATACTCAGATTGGAAATTTGTCTCGAAATACCCTGTACTAATTGTATAATTTCCTATGGTATATTATATTCATATCCAGCCCGCATTTCTGGATAAGGTGATTAGTCATGAAATTTTAACCCCCTGTTAAAGTATGAATAACTTTTTTTCTGCTTTGAACAATTTGAATTTGGTTCACACTGTTTGCTAGCCCAGTCCTTCAGCTATAAGCTAAAACTTCTTTAAAATTTTTGAAATCTCAGGCTCATTTTGAAGATTTAACTTCAGATGAAGAGATATGAAGATCGGAATTGACTCAAGATGAACATTGCACAGTGTGTCTCACTTTTGATGGAAGCATCCCTGTATCTTTCGTATTTGTTTAGTTAGGATTCTGAAATTTGCAGGAACGGTAGATATATACTGAAAGTACACACTATGACCAAGTGGAGTCATCTTTAGTGATATACACTGCTTGCTTACAGCCATGGAACCATCCACAAAAATGAAATAGGCGAGTTGACTGATTAATTTTATTTCTTAAATGGAATCATCACTCAAATAACTTTCAATTTCATATATTTTTAGAATCCTCCATTCGATTTTAAGATGCTGAGATCAACAATAATGCCACGGTAATTATCAAACGGCTGAAAATTTACCGCGAGTAAAAACTGACGTCACGATTTCGTAAGTATAGGGACAGACCATTGCACAGTTGCCAAATGATGAAATACGATTGCAACTGGAAATATTAGTTATTCAATAATTACAAAAATTCTCAATTTTGTATTGGTTATATTCCTAATTATACATAAAAATCAATTGTCTCAGAATATTTCCTCATCTGTTGTGGCTTATTGCTTATAATAAACGTGACAACCCGGCGCACGAATTGTGGGCGGTGCCTTGTCAGTTCTCAGCATTCAGCACATTGTTGCCAAGTCTTCAACATCAACATAATATTTTGTTATAGGGTACAAGAGATATACAGACATGCTGGTTGCTCGAAAAAATCCAGAATGATCTATAATATCATGGCTTACTCTTATTATGTTTTATCTCGTGTTTTATCCAACGACAGGACTCTAATCTTTATGATAAATTGATTATAATTGGTGACTCGCGTTGCTTCATGAGTGGGAATGAAAGATTATTTTTGCAGTATTGCAGTATCATTGCAGAGAAAAGTGTTGTTTATCTGCCTGCCTCGTCTTCATTGAGATAGTTGATGAATTGATGAATTACTAAAATATATCGCGTTCCAGTTACGAATGTTGAAGATATTATTCAGGTATGCCTCAGATTCAATATCTATGTACTTCCTCTAATGATATTTTCTGATTCAAATGTACTTCGATTCAAATGTGATGTTCAGTTGCAGATCCAAGAAGCAGTGTTTGATACTTGCCACTCAATGGGAGAAAACCATCCAGTAAATACGGACCGAACAGAAGATCCGCAAGGAGAACTGACCAGAGTATACTTTACAGAATTCAGATCATTATATTTGTTCGGAAGGCGATATATTGATATCCTTTCCAGATTCTCAAGAAAACAGATGACAGATATTCAACTTTATGTCTCTATGGAAACACGACAGGTACCCTTACGAGGAAAGAGTATCAACCCGGCGTTTATGAACCCTTTCGGCAAGAGGTAGACGTATGGTGGGTTAGGTATATACAGTGTTCTTCATTGCAGGGAAAATTGTTGATTATCTGCCTGTCTCGTCTTCATTGAGATAGTTGATGAATTGATGAATTACAAAAATATATCGCGTTCCAGTTATGAATGTTGAAAACAATATCCACACTTTTCATAGATTTATATTGCATGTAGGTCTCACGAATCCAATTCGAAATTGATACTTAGTTTTAGATCTGAGCAGCACAATGTTCGGCCTTCAAGGTCCTTAATATTACCTTCGTAATTGAACATGTGGAAGATGCCTGCAGGAAAAACCACTATACGGAAAGAAACCCGATATGTAGCAATCTAGTTACGGACGTTGAAAATATTATTCAGGTATGTCTCAGATTCAACATCTATGTATTTCCTCTAATGATATTTTCTGATTCAAATGTACTTCGATTTGAATGTGATGGTAAGTTGCAGATCCAAGAAGCAGTGTTTGATACTTGCCACTCAATCGGAGAAAACCATCCAGTAAATACGGACCGAACAGAAGATCCGCAAGGAGAACTGACCAGAGTTTACTTTACAGAATTCAGATTATTATATTCGTACGGAAGGCGATATATTGATATCCTTTCCAGATTCTCAAGAAAACAGATATGACAGATATTCAGCTTTATGTCTCTATGGAAACACGCCAGGTACCCTTACGAGGGCAGAGTATCAACTCGGTGTTTATAAACCCTCTCTGCAAAGGAGGTAGACGCATGGTGGGTTAGGTATATACAGTGTTCTTCATTGCAGAGAAAATTGTTGTTTATCTGCCTGTCTCGTCTTCATTGAGATAGTTGATGAATTGATGAATTACAAAAATGTATCGCGTTTCAGTTATGAATGTTGAAAACAATATCCAGATTTTCATAGTTATATATTCTATGTAGGTCTCACGATTCCCATTTGAAATTGATACTTAGTTTTAGATCTGAGCAGCACATCGTTTGGCATTCAAGGTCCTTGATATTATCCACGTAATTGAACATGTGGAAGATGCCTACTGGAAATACCACTATACAGAAAGAAAGCGGATATGTAGCAATCTAGTTACGGACGTTGAAAATATTATTCAGGTATGTCTCAGATTCAACATTTATGTATTTCCCTAATGATATTTTCTGATTCAAATGTACTTCGATTTGAATGTGATGTTTAGTTGCAGATCCAAGAAGCAGTGTGTGATTCTTGCCACTCAATCGGAGAAAACCATCCAGTAAATACGGACCGAACAGAAGATCCGCAAAGAGAACTGACCAGAGTATACTTTACAGAATTCAGATCATTATATTCGTGCGGAAGGCAATATATTGATATCCTTTCCAGATTTTCATGAAAACAGATAAGACAGATATTCAGCTTTATGTCTCTATGGAAACACGACAGGTACCCTTACGAGGGGAGAGTATCAACTCGGCGTTTATAAACCCTCTCTGCAAAGGAGGTAGACGCATGGCGGGTTAGGTATATACAGTGTTCTTCATTGCAGAGAAAATTGTTGTTTATCTGCCTGTCTCGTCTTCATTAAGATAGTTGATGAATTGATGAATTATGGAAATATATCGCGTTCCAGTTACGAATGTTGAAAACAATATCCACACTTTTCATAGATTTATATTGTATGTAGGTCTCAGGATTCAAA